ATAAGGTCAAAAATGGGAAAATGAGATTGAGGGAATAAAAGAATGTGATTCAGCAATCAACAAAGTGAATGGTTTAATTCGAAATAAGCAACGCGAATGCACACTCTATAGGGAGGAGAGTGGTGGTAATTGTATTATAGATAAAGAGGTTTGCAGAGTTGTGAAAGAACTGTACACGCAACATGGCTAGCTGTCGGATGATCGACCTCTCCAAAGTAATTACCAGAACTGTGACTTGAGCATTACGCAACATGTCGCTTTCGCTTCGGCAAGCACTGATTTCAAGTGCAATTTCACTGACGCTTGAGGAGGGCTTATTGTTTTTAGTTTATTTCGGAAGCGCGCACTGCAAACGACACTTGGAAAACATGCGTTATGTAAACTGTAGCTCGTTCTGTTAACGTATAGGGTTTAAGCTTGAGAGCAGGGTGACTGCGTATTCACTTAATTAGCTTTTTTAAGGCATCACCAAGGAGCTTAGATTGATCAGCTAAAAGAGAGTATTATGCAATGAACTTATAAAGAGATATCAAGTTATTTCCTGACGTTTGATCGTGAATTCTTACATTTCATAATTTGAAAAAAAGAAACAACCAAAACAAACATGATCTATTTTGTGTTCTCACCGAAATCCTCGACCATCTGGGGGACATCATTTGCTGTGAATGCGTTTGAAATTACTCTCGTGTGTGTCAACTTCCGTGCGCGCACTTTGTGGTTGTAATAAAACAACATTAGGAACGATAAAACAATGAAACACAAAGAAAGGTTTTCTCGAAAGAATAGGGCTACACTTTTAATCTCTTAACGGTACCCAGTGTATCTTAAGGACTCAGTTGAAAGAACGAAAAAGTCTTGTTTCAACCCCGGCTGAGGTGGGATCATTTCGTCAGTCTCGCCGCCATTTTTACTGACACGCGCAAATAAACATTATTTCAAAAATTAGCAGATAACGACTTTATTGCGGGAAACGTATAGCACAGATTGCAAAACGGGTACAAAACGTCTTACTCTAAAACTGTCTCCGGAGCAACTGGCCGTCGCGTCAGCACCCTTAAATGTTTCCAGCAATGAAAAGGTTTTGATTTAGCACGCTCAAGAGGCAATCTTTTGTCAAAGCGATTTTCTCTGTTACAGCTTGTGTCGTGCGGTAAAGAAAATGTCAAAGGTCCATGTACACTGACCAACGGCGCTTTGCTTCGTGTTATCAATTTCCTTGGGGTTAATTGAGTTCGATTAACTCGAATTGTCTCGTTCTTGTAAGACCTTATAAACGACCCCATCAATGGCAAACAATGAGGAGTCAAATACTTGGTCAAAAACCTTGTGGAAAGCAAGGCTATTAGCGAAAGCTATTTTGCCGCGAAGAGAAGATCTGCGTGGAGGACAAGATGAAAAAAAGTTTGCATCGCTTGGTAAAGGCCGGAATTTTGCTAACAAAAACTGACCCTAAAAATAATCATCAGTGCAAAATGCGTAAAAAACTGAAAATTTTTCACCAACCTGCTCTTTAATGTTTGTTCGTCTGGCGATGAGTATTTGGTCGTTGTCCCAAATGTCACTTCGGTCTTCAATGGCCAAGTTAGCTTGGCGTGAATGTGACACAGTTTTTTATAGCTACTTACCCCTCTTCCGTATGACAACCCCTTCCGGCAAGACAGACCGCAGCGGATACCTTTATTTTGGGGTTATACTATCCCAGCGAAATCTGTAAGCTTAGCAATTTACGATTCCGGGCAGACAAAAGACAGAAAAATATCCTTCCTGTCCATACGATGTCCGCGATTCGGTTTGCACACGCGGTGTAGTTCGTGTTTTCTCAAGGACACATAATGTTTATCGACAATTATTTACCCATTATCAAAACAAGTGACCTGAAACCCCAGAGACAACGGAAAGGGTTTGACCTAGAATGACAACGAAACCATTTCTGCGGTTTATTAATTTATACGGCATTGCATTCATCGAAGTTTTTCTAGAAACAGGAATATGCCTTGTTGCTCTGTTAACACGCAACTTTCGCCGCAGGTCGCGACTTAGGTGTAAGCATCCCGAAAGAAAAAGAGACGAAGAAAGCTCGTCTTACCAGCGTGGGTGGTCTAATGACATTTAAAGAGTTTGATTAAACTTTAAAGAAAGAAAAAAACATTGCAATAAATCTTTTGATTAAAGAGATTTGGAAAATTAAAATGCGCGCCACCATAGGAGCTTTGAGTGGGCAGTAGGTAAGCTGAATAGTTTTCAGTTTCTTTGTCAACATTTGATAAGGAAGTTTGCTGTCATTCATTTATTTCCTTAGTTTTCACAAATAACCTATGAACATTGTGTTACCAAAACATTCGTGTTGTTCCATATATTAGGTGTCGATGGCAAAACGTTAATTAGACGGAGATTTGCATCTTTTTCCGAAATATTGTTAATACGTTCATAATCCGGTAACGGGGAGTCTGTAATCCGCGGCACGTGAACCCTGTCTGTGAAACAACTTAAGACACCAAGACATTTTACAGACACACGATATTCCTAGAATTGGATAAAGCCTGTGGGAATAAAAAAAAACACACACAAAAGAGATAAAAAAAGACAGTGGATACAATTTAGTAAGGCCGTAAATTGTTTGTGCCATTGCTGACGATAGGCAAGGATCTTTTAATAAGCATTGTGGAGTTTTCAAAATGTTTACCCAGCTAGAAGAGGTTTCGTTACCAGTATAGAAGAAGAAACTCTCATTTGTTGCTCAAACTGACTTTAAAATCCCATTCACACAGTCAAAAATTAGAACCACCTTATATGGCATAATAACATGAACACAGGAAAGTACTGCTCAGTAGCTTTCATTTGAATGGTCACATTTTAGGATTCCATTGATTCACAGACTCAAAAATTAGAACCAGCTTGTACAGCACAATGAACACGTACCACAGGAAAGTACTGCTTAATATCTTTCACTTATTACCGAGACTTGAGAATTCTTTCACATATCTAAAAATTAGAACCACCTTGTGCAGAATCAGTAACACGGGAAGGTGTCAAACTTTGAGATTCCATCCAGATTCCACAACGTGCCCCAAGAAATAACACTAAGCATACAAGAGGATTTTACAAAAGAAATCACAGAAGGAAATTAGACATTCTAGAAGCAGTTACTACAGTGGAACCTCGATTTAACGAAACTCTATATAACGACGATTTTCTTTACCTCGCTTATAGTAAATAGTTTGGAAAAGAACCTCGATCTAACGAAACCTTGTTATAGCGGACATATTTTGCCAGTCCTTTGGCCTTTCGTTATCGAGGTCAGTTCCACTGTGTCGCAGTTTTATTTTTATCTGCAAAGATAAACAGTGCCACGTGACCGGACGAAAAAAGGCAGAATTGTCTAAAATGAACAAAGTTGCGCCACAATGTTTCACAACAAATGGAAGAATTGCGAGGAATTCAGAGTGGCTCTCCTAGGACATCATGGACGTTTTTGAAAGAGCTGATGTCGACTTAGACTTGTGATTCTGTTAATTTTAAAATCGTACTTTTTTCTGTAAAAAACTGTCGCAGAAAGATCGAAGGGTATTACCAATGCTTACTTTTCTCCAAAAACTATGAAGGGAGAGTTTCCCTGAGGCAAAATTAATTTAAAGTCTGTTAATATTGCAAGTTAGTCATTGCAAAGAAAATGTATCAAGAAGTAGCAAAAGCGCAATTTTAAGCCGTAACCGAGTGTGGATTAAAAAGAAGCCAAACTAATAGATAAGTGTCTTGACACAAGGGACACTACTACATATAAGAGCAGAGCTATTTTAGCTCCACTTTTAAAGGGTAAAACATAAACCAAAACTCTTCGAGCAATAACATGAACAGAGCTCTTCACTGTACCTTTCGTAAGATGCCGACAGCCGAGAAATGGATCAATTTACTGCAACTTTGTCCAGAGTTGGGATATAAAACGACTGTAACTGTTCCGAAAGCCAGGATATGAATCGACTGAGTTGAAAACAATCCAAAATTTATATATGGCACGCCGGCTACTTTAACTACGGCCTTTAACCCTAAAGCAAATTAAAGAGACATAAGACGGCATTCCAGCTTTTGAGTTTTTTCAGAGTCGAAAATGTTAAGTGTTACCATTCATATTAAACGACATTGCGGCGGCATTGGCAGTAATTTTCAAGATGATATGACACTTTTAGTATTTTAGCACCAACAACTAGAATTTTTTTTAAACTCAGGCTTTGGTTTGGCGTTGTAGAGTTTAAAACAGCTACAATGTTGCATCGGTTCCTGAAAAAGCACGATTAAGCTTATCCAGGATTATATTAATCCGGTTACAACCGAATTAGAGGCCCGTAGCAGAGCGGAATATTGACTACACAGTCTGGGACAAAGCAGTGAAAAAAAACATTGAAAAGGATAGCATTTATGGAGTCAGAACGCCTGCCTGCACCGCAGATGGGAAATGACCCAACCACATGACCTTGTTCCTGTCCAAAAACCTACTGAAGGGAGTGAAAAGGCAGCACTTAGTCTCCTACGCTGTGTATGATGTAAGTAGATGTCGCAATTCATCAAGTGAACGCACGTGCTCTTCAAAACGGCTGAGTTGCTATCTTAGGAAAAGCAGTTCTATTTGGCGACGGATACTTAACAAAAATAAGGCAAGAATTATAATAATAAACAACAGAAAATATCCAGTATACAGTAACCATTAATTGCCATAAAATAAAAGCGAAAATTACTGCGCGTAATTACGTTTGAGCAACTTTTGCCAGTTTCTTTCTGGAGTCCAACGTGACGTCAATGCAGTTCTTAACCTCTGGGTCCGTGGACTTCGTAGCAATAAAACAAATTTTACACTGAGATAGGAAAGAGCGGGCGGCTCGTTTAAACATAAAATCAAGATACCTTAACCGGGAGGAAGACCCTTTGATGGTCTCTTGAAAGTGTTTGGAATACTTTACTACCAAAATTTAAGCTTTTTTTTTTTTCAGAGATAAAATTTTATTGTACATTTATGAACATATTAATAAAGATTGGCTAAAATATGATTACAATATGATTTATACTTGAAGGATATGGCTCAGAGCGAATGTTAAGGGGCATCTGAAGGTCTTCATGTCTGTTCTTGTCGGTTTACGCGCGAAACGACGGACTGAGGTCGGAGAAGTAGGGATGCCGCATGGCGTCTTCGGCTGATATCCTATGAGCGGGGTTGAGAACCAACAATTTCTGGAAAAATGAAATGAATGCAGTTAGGAACTGTTCAATTTTGCAAGCAAATTACAGCATCGGAGACCGATGGGTGGATAATTGGGGCGACAGGAAGATAAAATGGGCGAAACTATAAGCAAGGTGATCCAACGCCTTCTAAAGAAGACCGAGGAAATATCAGCAAAAAAAGCCTAAGAATGGTTAATAGCATTTCCCAAAACTGATATCAAAGCTTTTTGCAAAATACTGATATTCATGTTCTAAAGAAGATGCTTGTTTGGTTTAGGGCGTGGCCTTCAGCGCCAAGCACATTTGCGGATTTTTGCATTTTATGATTACATTATTTAGTTTGAATTTTAATAGTGCGAGGGTGAAAATGTAAGTTTGATCTTTGAAATAAAAGCTACAGAAATTGAACGTATTTTTATCTGGTGCTGTTTTAAAAAGCTTGCAAAATCGACCTTGTAGTTCACCTTTGGGGCATTAGGAGTGGAGTGTCATAGGCTCGGTTTAAATTCCCTTCTTCACATGAGCCGAATCGATTTCAATGAATTTTTTTCAATATATCGCACCAGCGGAACGAGGAAGTATTACCACGGCGCCCTGGCTTACATTTTTCAGTGTCCAATTAAGATATCTTGACTACAAAGCCGGGGCCGTAGGCTTATGAAGATTTAAAATGTGTGTCTCGCTCACTGTGTCGCCAAGACCGTTATCTTTATTGTGGTTTTCTAATCCGCATCCCTTATCAAACTAGGAGGCAAGCGCAACCCTATGTCGGCACCGAAAACAAGGACTCAGCTCACTATGATATGTCAAGCTATTTTCTATCCTTTTAAAAAGCTACGACGTGTCTTCTCATTAAGTGAATTCCAAAACTAATGGTCGAGTTTTGTTATTTAAGACCATATTTCGGCACTGAAACTGTTTCCTCAGTGTCGTCTGTGGATATCACGGATGTCAAGGATGGAATGGATTTCAACTCTCTTTTAAGTTTTAAGGCTATGCCTGCAAAAATCACCAAAAAATTTTATGGATAGTGCCCTATGATGAAATCTGATTGATATCGTCTTCATATCTCTACAGGAGCTTTGTGTGAATAGGTAAACTAAAGGTGCTAAGTTATGACTTCAGCACAGAATTGGCCTAAAACATCAATATCCTCGTGGCATAACCCCCGTTTTAAAAATCTGCACAAGCCAGAACAAAGAAAACATATAACAACCTGTAAAAGGTCTCTCCCAGGGGCAGACAGCTTTGGTACAACGACTGCCATCGACACTGCTCCGCCAGTTGGAAGGTGAGTAAAATCCTAAAAGTTCAATTAAAAAAGTGATAGAATGTGATGGTGAATTTTCAGCCTAGTGGACAAATGAGAAAAATGTTTATTCAGCCAGTGACAGAAGCGCATCGGAAGAAAAAAACCCGAGGACTCGCTATTAATGCGTATAAGCACATTTCGACATTCAAGTCCAAGCTGTATGCAGGACGTTTGTCACATTAACCTAGTTTAGTCGCCTTGGCTCCGTCGAGTCTCCTGCTGTAGCTTTAAGTGGAAGAGAATGGCCGGACTAGTAACCAAAAGGTCGTAGGTTCGACTCCTATTGAGAGTACGCGGATTTTTCCTCCGAGCCGCCTGCCCGGTCACTAACTGAATAAACATCTTTCATAATAAAAAAGTGGTTTGCAATGTGAGTGTCTTTACGGAACGAACGAACCCGGGACAAACCACAAAATCTATCGAATCGTATCTGTAATTATCTGTAGCCTTTAAAGCCAGGAAACAAGGCTGTTGTTGAATCGTGGCTTCGCCGACTATTGCAGAAGACCATCAGAGAAGGAGGTGGCTTCGATCGTTTACCACACTTTCCACTGGATAAATACGTGAGTACAAAAATACTGAGAGAAAGTTTCTTGACGGCCTTGTCGGGAACAAGAAAAACATGTCATGGCCGGAGTAATACATAAACCTTTATACGGGAGGCTCTATCTTTGCTAATAATAATAAATAAATGCTTTATTTACACTGGAAAAATCTTTCAGTGTTAAAATAACACTGGTATTAACAGGACGTCCAGTCTAGTTAAGTAATATACAAGCATCACAAAATATAAAAAAATCTATTTTAAAAAAAGGTTGGCATAATATTAATTAAAGCAAATTTAAAAAATCACAATGTACACCTGTGATTGTCAATATCATCTTTCCTCAAATAATCGTATAGTTCTCTCTTAAAACGAGATAGGCAGCGAATTCCAATGTTTGGATGCAGCTTTTTCAAATGTCCTTTGCCCAAAGGAGGACTTTGCACCCTTTACATTTAAATTACACTTATCCCTAAGAGATCTACTATGGAGTTGCTTTCTCTGGACCACTACACCACTTAACTGCTTTGGACAATTTTGATTGTTTACAATTCTGAAGATATAAATAAATCTTAGGAATCGTCTTCTTTTAAAAAAGTGTCAATAAACCCAAAGTATTCCTCACATCAAAGACCAGCGAAGGTCAGAATATGATTTGAAACGTTGTGAGAGGGGAGGTAATCCACTAAACTTCATCGAGTTAACCCTTTATCAAAATTCAAATTCAGTCCTATAAAAGTAGTGAGGAGAAGTTGTTGAAGTATTAGTAAGTTTTATCTTCAGTTATCATGTCCTCACTTCTCATGACCACCCTGTTTTATAAAGCATTGATATTACAAGGAGAAACTTCATGATGATAACTCTAAGGACTCAATGGATTAATACTTTCCTCTGGAAAGTGTGATCTTTTCGCATGCAAAGTCTCGTCTGATTTATAGATATTTATAACACTACCACTTTGTATCTTACCATCTGCACGCTAGGAGGTCGAAGTTTCAAATACTGGGAGTTTTATCGACACCCCCGGTCAACCTCCCTACGGTTTTCCCCAGCCGGGCATCCAAGAGGCATGAAAAGTGGCTAAATTTTTAAAAACCCAGAAGAAAAATTGAACTTTATAGCATCATATCTAATTACTTTGTTGGGAAATCAGATTCTCAAAGGGAAAGTTGTTTTCCAAGAATCGGTGGCGACGAATTGAGAAAATAAGATAATAACAAAAAAAAACCAACCAATTAACCAGCCAACCAACCAACAAAGAAAACGAAGAATTGGCAGAGACAAAATTTCTCACGCCAAAGAAACACAAGATGCTATTTTTGCACTTACCGTTTCAGTTTTGTTAAAAATAGTTTTTAATGGTATTATTAATCAAATTACCCAGGCAGACATTCAGTGATATAATCTTATTGTTTCAAACTAGACACGCAAACTCGAGCAAAGGACTTTGACAAGACAGCAGCCAATGATATTTTTAAAAATACTTAAGATAACTTTCTTCAAACGAAGTATACTAGTGACTACAGATCGCTATTTAAAGTTTTCTCAGAGTAAGTTGTACCTTGCTTAAGATAACTTTCTTCAAACGAAGTATACTAGTGACTGCAGATCGCTATTTAAAGTTTTCTCAGAGTAAGTTGTACCTTGTAATCTGGCAGTTTACACGCGTTGGGCCATGTTTCTTCCGATGGTGGACCTAAAACTCTAGGGCGTGGTCAAGGAGCAAACCAAAGCATAATTAAAAGACAACTGAACAGAGGCGCATTGATCGAGCACTCCCTTATAGAGCTAAAAATAATTCTAAAATGGCTTAAAGCACCAATTTGGGAAGGATAAAAGAGATGTAAAACTGAAGAAGGGAGACAAGAGCGGGTCCCACCAGGGTACATATTTACCACATTGTCCCGTTGAACAAAGCAAAAAGCTGAGAAACACACCAAACTTACCGCCAACAACAATAATCAGAACAGCAATGTATATAAAAGGAAACCGCACTAGGGAACATAGAACTGTAATCAAGAATAGTAGTTTTTTTTAACATATTATTTTGCAAAAGGTTATTTCGGCGTTGTCAAAGTTAGCGGCATTTGAATGTGATTTGATACATTGAACCATACGGCAACATGTATTCACACAATGACTTGTCGACTTCCAAAGCCGTCCTATACTCGCCAAAAAAAGTGTTTACTCATTTTGTTTATAACTCACTTTCCTTAGCAAACTGATAATTAGTATGGGCAATCACTAATTCGTTACAATGAAACTAAGTTGCTATTTTCAACACAAAGACAATTAATCGTCGTGTCTGCACTTGAGAGGCCGAATGCCGTTTAGAAATCAGCAAAAAGACCACCTCGACGAGGGCTGAAAATACTCGAGACGCGGCGCGCGCCGTGCAAGGAATCACGCACAATTAAAAAGATTTATCTGTCTCTAAAACCGACAGCTCTGAGACCGACATCATGTGTCCGTCTAAGAGAGATGCCGGTCTTTCAGAGTGTCGACTAAAATGAGTAAAGAAAGGCAGGGACCAACTCTAGGTGTCCGTTAAGAGAGAGCTGACCGTAACTAATAGTGGTACAGTATCTATTTAAGAACTAATTAATCAATAAGAAACCGCTGAGTAAGTACGCACGTAAAAGAAGCAATAAACACGCAAACAAAGCCGTCCTTGCGCATAATACAGTCACGGACGTTTGGAATTTTTGAGGTTTACCGTGTTTAAGCACCTGTGATTTATTTGTTTGTGTTTTTGTTCTTTTTTATCCATTGTTTTTGTGCAATCTATTGTTTGCACTTTTTGTTTTTGATGTTCTGTTTTGCGCGTGACATGTTTACTAGATTCATATTCAAAAGATACTTTTTTCTTGGTTCCGAAATCCTACCTCTATAATATGGACACCTCTGCGATGCATGCAGAACACATCGGCCAGTCCGTTTAGTGCGCGTATGAAACAGGTTTTGAGCGGTTCGACTTTATTACGTTGAAATTGTGTTACTCTATGGACACAGTGGCCTATGTATGTTCATTACTTCGTTGTAAGCAAAACTTTAGAAAGACAAAACCCATTGTATTAGGATCCCCCCAAATCACTCTCCTCTTTCATTGAGAGCATTGAGAAAATGTGATGTACTTCAAAAGCTTTGTCGATTATCTTTGTCTGGGCTGGTCTGGAACGTAAAGTGGATTGAAAAGTTGAACAAAGGCCAGATTTCCTCAAGTGGTTGATTTCTCTTGATCTTGTGTGATCGTCTTAAAAAAAATTGACCGGCAGAGAAAAAAAATATACATGTAGAAAAGACATATTCCAAGGATTGTGTCAAGGCTAGTTTTTAAGGTGTTATATGGAAATTCAGTTAGAAATACCTTAATAGGAAATATGCATGCTGAGAAAAGCGAACGCCATTAATTTGTTGTTGTTTTGATCTAACAACTATGAAATCGTGCCAAAAAAAAACACGCAAAGGTTGTCGCGCGCAATCGAATACTTTGCATGAGAAAGCACATTATAGCAACATAACAAATTTAAACAAACAATAATAAATAAATAAATAAATAATAAAAAAATTTCTATACCTAAGCTAAGAGCCTTGCTTAACACCAAGTACCTTTCCCAAGGTGCGATGGTTTTTTTAGGGAGGATCCCTATTAACCTTTGTATTTTTTTTTTCGCTTTTAGTGAGCTTAAGCAACGACGACGGCGACGGCAACGCGAACGGCAAAAAAGCAACAGGTTTAGATTGGCAAAACAACAACTTCGCACATGCATCACGCTTTTTTGTGCATTTCTTAGCCTTCGTTACATGACTACGACGTTAAAGTGCCTCATTTCACGTTTTCTCGAGGAGGGGAATACAAGACAGCAACTTTCTTTTTCTTTTCTTGAACTTTGATACAGTCCTCTAGAATTCAACTTCAAAAAATTTGCCAACATTTGACGACTCAAACGACATAGAACAAGCGCGATAAAGTTTGAAACAGCGCCAATTCACTTTTTAAGTGACGTTTTCGAGGTCGTCGCCGTCGGTGTTGCTTAAACTCCCAAATATTACACTCCTTTTAAAGGCTGACAATTCTGCAAGGACTAATTTCCTTCTTCAAAGCTTTTTCCGGTTAAAAGTGGATACTAATTTGCGTAGCAAGGAAAATACCATGGAGTGTAAAGCCCCTTTGCCCGCGGCTAAATGTCCTAACATTTTATGCAACATTTTCTTAGTCTAAAAAATAGCGTGCTAAGCATCCCTGCACCCCAGATAGTGCTGGAACGCGAATTCATGTTGAAATAATGTTTTGTCAGTTTTGTTTGCGGTTAAGATGTTTGGCTCACAATAAAAAAGTTTTATTATTAAAGGCGTTTTATTGATGTCAAATGTCAACAACTAATCATTGGTTGAAAGCACGCAGTCCCAACTGTTGGCAACGTTGACCATTTGCAATGACAGAACCGGAAGTTGTCCAATGGATGTTACATGAATGCTAAATGATGTCTAGCCGTGAGTATAATCAGTGCAATAATAAAAGTAGAAAGTTTGGTCGAGTATCCACAGCATGTTGTCAAAATTCGGCGATTTCATTGTTTGATTAACTCAAAAAGACAATTAGAAACTTTGATAAATATCCATGTCGACGAAGCTAAACCAAAGAGAAAAATCTTTACATCTTAGATTAAAAGCTTTAAAAAGCATAACATATTTTGGTCCGTTTTGTGATAACAAAAACAGACTATCGCGGCAACATAAACAAGTGAGACATGACGTGGAGTGGTTATACCAAGCCCACCGTCAGAAAACGCAGCAAAGTTGATATACTGTCTAAAGGATGGCCCCGAGGGGGAGGGAGGGAAGGGGGGAACTCAAGAAAGTTTTACACGGGGAGGCTCCGCCCCGAGGTCCAGCCCTTTACCCTATCTATATACTGTCTAAAGGAAGGCCCCGAGCGGGGGAGGAACTCAAGAAAGTAGTTTACGGGGAGGATCCGCCCAAGGTCCAGCCCCTTACCTTTATCTACACTACTTCTGACAGAAAAGGTTACCCCTTTCGTATACCTTATTACAGGAAATCAACGATGCGTTTTATTAACGCGATTTTGACGTTAATTTAATGCATCTTAATTTACGTCGATGTTAATTTAAATCACACTATTTTACATCATTGTTGTTTTACAGCACGTCTATTTCTATAACAAAACCTCGTCTGCCCATAGTTCCACTATCAACGCGCCGGAGTCGCTATCTGACAGCTCTTCTTTAAGAATTGAGTTCAAAATGTCTTTCGACTGGTCTTTGTATTGAGCCTTTTCGCCAAGGGGAGTTCTAGAGTCTTTCATCGTAACACTTTCATGGCGCGGTTCATCCTCCCACTGCACGGTTGCCTTTATGGGGATTTGCTTTGTTTTCGAAAAGTTCGCGTTAATTTGATTTATGTAAACTTAACTTTTGGAAAATTCGCGCTAATTTCCTTCGCGTTGTTAACGTACATCGTTAATTTCCTATAATAAGGAACCGTCTATTGACAAATGGTACACCTTTCATATTCCTAGTTTAGAAGTTTGCATCCCTTTCAACTGCTGTAAATGCACTGTCTTCAAAATATGAATAAATAACAACAACAGAACGCTGTCTCGACTCTTTCACAGGCTCAAAATGCATCTCTTATCTCTTTTGGGCCTTTGTACAGACCGAAATGACAGATTTCCCTTCCCTTTAATATTCTTCAACAAGTGAAATCCCTACCCTTTCATATACCTGTAGCCTGTAAAAGGTACCCCTTTCGGACGGAGCCTCTTCGTATAGGCCATTACCGTCTTCTGCAGTTATTTTAATCAATTTGCTCATCTTTGACGCCTACAATATCTCTCTTATCATAAATCCCCCAATAATCGCTCTGAGGGCTTATTTCAAATAACGTAAATGGAGGTGACATAAACTAGGGGCATTGGACAAGTTAAAGTGAGGGTGGAACATTCTTAGTATCTGGCACAAAATGGGATACTGTAACGTCACGGTTTTTATCCGATAACATGACAACGACAAGCTAGTGTTCAAAAATGTTTTCAAAAAGTTGCGGATTAGGCGATCGTATTTAGTCGTTTCATCAGATAGGTGTGGATTGGACCTAAAACCAAAACGGATTGCAGTTAAGTTAACTTGTGTGCCTCACTTTACTCCAAATTGAATTCCTTTGGTGAGAAAATGTGATTTCAATACTTAGGAATCATCTTTGTCTGTTAATTTTTGGCTGAGATTTTGTTGTTAAAAGACTATTGCTTTGCACAAGATGAACTACAGAAACAAAAATAAAAGTACCACAATCTAGCTTCTTTATCCTGGCGTAGTTCAGTTTACCACTCTGTTATAGTTCAGAATAACAGCGATAAAACACCCTTCCCTGGATTTCAGAGGTTTTTTCTCGCACGCTTGCCAGTGAGAGGTCCCGCACATGAAAAGTCCCCCCTGGGTAAACAAACTATTCTTTAAGCTGAGTTGCATCTCAACGTTCAAACGAACAAAATGACAAGAAATAATAATGATAATAATGATGGTGATGATAGTAATAAAGTCTCCCGTCTAAACAAGATTCTTAACTGTAGATACCAAAAACCGAGTGAGAGTCTGAGTGAGATGATTTTCGTATTCCGCTAATCTCATGTCATTGGAATTGTGCGGTTATCGTATACCTTGTCGCCCGTCCAAACAAGATTCTAAACTGCAGATACCAAAAACCAATATCATATAAGTAATCGTATTTCGCTAATTTGATTCATCAGTCTCGGTTTTCCGCCGTCAGAGCAGAAAGAAAACGTTTCAGGATTTTCCTTTATAAATTCGACTACAGTGGAAGGTCACAGAAAATATTATAAAATTGGGCGAATAATGTGGAGCGATTTTCATAATCTCAGTGACACCACAACCTTGACTTTCTTTCCTCTTCATTTTTTCAGTTTGGATTGCCAGCTCTACAAGCCATATTAAAATATGATCAGTTTAGGTATCCCTGCAGTCTAATTACAGCGCGCCTTATCGTTTAGATGTGATGTTCATTAAGGGGGCAGTGTGGTTGTTGCTTTTTGGGTGGGGGGCGGAATGATGTTGATTTGGGAAGGAAATAATTTAGGGTAGAAACAGTATACGCATAAACCAGTTATGTTGTTGTGGTGGTATATCTGACATTTCATCTCTTGTCTACCAATTATCCACTTCATATTCTAATTTTTAACAACCCCAAATTCCAGTGTTTTCCAATTTTCCAAAATTTTAACCATCCCTCACTAATTTTTATACATTAAAAGCATTCGAAAAATCATCCAAAAATTCTCAAATAAAAAGTTTGAACTAAGGACTCCAACTATATTGAGTCATTTTTTGATTGAATGAAATCTTGGCGAGATATTTAAGAAAAAGGGCGGAAATAAACGAAAAACAATGATTTTAATCAGACTGCCGCCTTAGTGAGTATCATCCTCAATATTCTTATAAAAAAGAATATGAATAACATTTACCGTATAACTCAACTCTCGCGTGCCCATAACCGCTCCTGTTCACTCTTAGGAAGACTCGAAGCTGCTCAAATTTCAAGGCTACGTGGTCGCAGTTGTTTGTCTTGGAATCTCTCATTCGAAAACATCACGACCGCCATCAACTTTGGCATGCAAGGAATATTGATGTCGGAAGAAAGAAGTTCAATGTTTTGTGAATTCTCTCAATTTCAGGCAAAATACCCAACAAATTATCAACAAGTTGGTAGTAATCTTAATAATTCTAAAGGTCCGCACTAAAATTTGGTTAATGTAATTTGCTTTGCTTTACCCTGGGAGCCGCCCTGTCTTGACTCTCCCGGCACCTGCTCTAGCTGGCAAGCGTACCCTAGAAATAACAAATACGCTTATCATGAACCAAAGATGTTTACTTTTCTTCAGTTATCCTCATCTACTTCCCCGTGTAATAGTCTAAGGAGAATGATGGCAACCAATTTAGCTAGTATGCAAACTATTTTAATCCAAAGGTTTGTAATCAACGTGAAACCGCAATCGTAAATGTCGTTTTAACCCCTTCACTGCCAGAGTACCTGATGGAGTTTTGTAAGGCGGCTCTAACTTTTGAGTCTGCAGACGAAATCCTATGATGTGACCATCCAAATGAAAGCTCTCTCCCTGTACTTACATATGGTGCTATTTGTTTGTCAAAATTTTCGACAACGAAATTTGGAATTTGGTCGAAATTTGCCGTTGACCACATTTGGCAGTGAAAGGGTTAAGGGCCGCGTGGATTTATTTGCAGCATGCGTTTATAGCCGCGCCTTTGCCCGATCACAATTTATGTTTTTAAGCTAAAAATGCAAATACGACGGCGCAAATAGAAGCTGCTTTACACGGACACCTTATTGTTACGGACAGTGTTCGTTGTCTCTGGAAAAGCCCTCACATTTTCTCTTAATTCAACCCTTATAATACGGACACCCGTTAATGCAGACAAAGGACACTTGTTTCCTATCCAATCAAGAGATTCTCATAGAAAATGAACCTCGCTAATGCGGACACTCCATTGTCAACTGTGTGCCGTAATAAACCTTTCCCTTCAAAGGTAAAATAAACTTCAGTTGACAACATGTCGATATTTCCAGCACTGAAGTACAACGAATAGGATGAATCGTAGATGTCAATTTCAAACTATTTTATCATAAAGCGAGTTATGAGTTTTTGATAAAATAATGTATATTGAAAATGAACGACTTTTGGGTGTCTTCATGGGCTTAGTCCACGTAGTGACGGATTTGTGAAGGTTTAATGTTTAATTAGATGCTGGAAATTGTCCTGTTTTGTTTCTTTAGTATTAGTTTATTCAAAGAAAACTTGTATTTTTGACTTTAATAACATGACCCCTCGGTGTTTGTATTAACGGGATTTGCATATTGGATTCCTAGAAATGACGTCAGAGAAATGTTATCACAGTCTTAACTGAGAAATTTTCGAAAAAGATGCAAAGTAACATAAACTTGAACTAATGTGAGAAAAGGAAAGTGTGTGTGAATGATCGTATACTATTGAAGAAATCTCTCATTTTAGAAGGAAAAGCATTGAGGACAAAAGTTAACACCTTCGTCACGTCTTCGGAGATCCTCGGACGTCTTCGGATATGAACGGATCATCTAGAAAGATTCCTGGTGATGTCACGAAAAAAAAGTCACGCCTTTGACGCTAAAAATTGCCAGTATAAACTATGAAGGACTTTGATAACGTCTAGAACAAATGCTAATCACTTTTTAACAAACAATTCTTAGCTGCCGTTTCTCTGGAATTACAACTTCGTCTTATCAAGTTTTCTTAGGGGCGGGGTCGACCATTTGACTGTTGAGGAGGGGGGGGGGGGCGGATATTTTTTCTCCACGTATTTCCTTGCAAGATATTTTTTTCCCTAGAAATCATTCTGCAGGACATTTTTTTCTGAAATTACCCATACTCCATTTCAAAAGTCCAATAGTCGGCCCTTATCAAACACAGCACAGCAACTAAAATGATAAACAACACAAACGATTCATGGACAATGAACTATGCTTAACAAAGGATACTTGAAAATTCGTCTAAGTTGGTCATCGACATCACTCCCTGGAAAAAGCGGTCTACCTCCATTCGCCATTTCTGAAGAGAGAGAAAGAGATACCACTTGAGGTAAATTTAAGTTACAAACGGTACAAAGTTTTGTAACGACAGCAAACATAAAATTTTAAAAACTCAAGAACCAACTGGAGAAGCGGAAGGTGCAATTGACCAATCAGATCCAGCGTTTGGAAAACGCGGGAAAACAGGTCCGGTGCCAAGCGCGGTAAAAAAAATGCGAACGCTTAGGCCTTTCATCAGATAGGGACCTCTAAGAAAATACCTTTCCTGCCTTGGGATGGAACACACACAAACGCCCCCTCTATAACAGACGTTCCCCATGACAATTGTTCCAAAATGATAGGAAATAGCAAAACAGAGCAAAATAAAACAATTTATTCATTATCTTGCTTGATTAATAATAGTTTGCGCATAACGTCTTGTTCCTTGAAAAGTTCAAAGTAAGGATTCTAGCCTGCGTAGCAAGCGTTTCCGTGCGGTTTCGGAGCAAAGAACGTCGAACGAGAGTCAAAGACAGCTCGAAAAATGGGGCAAGTATAAGAGCGGGGAGGGGGTGGGGAAGAAAGGAAGGAGACGCTTGCTGACAAACCCCTTCCTTTCCCTCGCCCTCCCCTCTCTTTCATTTTTTAACTCTCGTTCCATTTTTTTCGCGGCCAAAACCGAAACTCCCGTTCTTCGTCGTTCCTCGGTCTTTCTTTCATGGTCCGAAACCACACGGAAACGCTTGCTACGCAGGCTATAACGATTCTGACACGGAAGTTGAGCTTTAAAAAGCAATAGAAATCTCTAAACGGCCTAGACGTAGCAAGAGAAGGACTGGATAATCTGCCGTTTATAAACCGTGGTGATATACTCACTGAAACCATACCGTAAAATTCCGAAAATAAGCCCCTCCGTGTATAAGCCCCTCCAAATATGAGCCCCCCAAACTCGTAACACAAAAAACCCTCCTTTAAATCACCCCTCCAAATACAAGCCCCCCGGAGGCTTGTACTTGGAAATTGCCCTCAAATACAAAGTAAAACAAAGCAAAAACGGTACATTTCCTTCCAACTATAAGGCTAGCCCGATCGATTTCCCCCAACCAGTGTTGTAAATTATCCTTGAAAAGGCCTGAGGGAAGTGGATAATAAGATATACATTTACATTTACGATTTTGAAACGCAAATTTTCCTCGATAGATAAGCCCCTCCGAATATAAGACCCTCCCAAAGTAAGCCCCTCAAAAAGGGGCCTTTGAAAAATATAAGCCCCGGAGCTTATTTTCGGACATTTACGGTATCAGTTTTGTGCAGTTCGTTACAGTTATTAGAATAAAAGCCTCCCATCAATTAAACGTTCCCGCCACTTAGGGTCCCAAAATTAAAGAGGCGTCTGATTAGATCATTCACGGTAGGCGAACATATTTGCCCGTAGTCATATAAAAGGCGACCATAATTTTCCAGCTGTAGCCGTGGCATTATAGCTCCACCCAGTTTTTGAGTAGCCTATCTGTCCCTCCAAGCAGTTCCGCCCATGTACATATGGCTAAGGGCAAGAATTGCCCATACCTGAACACGGATGCGTTAGGCGGACGCATTCACGGTTAACGGTTATTATCATTCGAGGGCCCACTACGTGACCTGCAAATAATTGGGCTTAATAACTGGCCTACAAATAATGATGTGCTCATACGCAATATCTTCCAACTGTGTTTGGCTTCAATGTTTGGCTTTAAGGTGATGTTACAAGGGACGATTGGCAACGACGATTTTTAGAGCTCCACAGGGTTGCAATGTTGGAACAATGTTGTAACAGTTCGAAACAACATGGCAACAATGTTGCAACACAGTGTTGCGCTAAAAATCGTCGTTGCGAATCGTCTCGTGTCACATCACCTTTAAAGTGTTTGGCATGCGTAAATAAAACCATGCTTTTCTCACTTCTTGCGCATGGCAGATCACTTCCAATCCATGATTTTATTCATTAAATAACAAACTCGGTGATCGAATGATAAAACAATTTTTGAACTCGGTTATCGCAAAATATCGTATTTTGTCAGTGTCTTGCAGAAGGTTAACAGACATTTTTCAGAGAAAATTGCTTTTGAAAAAAAATTCTAAAGCTTCCATCGGTTTTACAGTCTTCTAAGGACCTTTCAGGGATGGAAAAAAGGTTACGTATAGTGTCCATCAGCCACGAGACAAAGAAAAAAAAAACAAGAGACAAAAGTAAAGTCGTAACAAGTAAGGTGGCCCTCTTTCAAAAAAACCACAAAGTGCAGAAAAAAAACTCTTGATACTCCAAAAACTTCTAAATTTCCCGGAAACTTCTAAATATCGCGAAACTATCCGAATCTTGGTGAAAATGCCTACGAACGGTTTGTTTTGATTTTATTACTCCAGACCTCATGCTTAAAAAAGTCAATTCATGAGTTTGTAGAGGAGAAATTCTAGACCATTCCCTGATCAGCCATTGGCCTAAGCTCACCTGCAAATATACATCCAGCAGACCACATGTCAATTGAAGTTGAATATAACTTTGCTCCCATGAGGACATCAGGGGGGCGATACCACAGGGTCACCACCTATGCACACACAAAAAAGACAATATAGTTCACCTCAGTATCTAGACGAAATGGGTGTTTCTTGGTCTTGCAGAAACCATTGTTGGCTCTTTGAATCTTCTGTGTTACGTAATTTAGTGATTTCAGCCGTCCGCAAAACCAAGAAACTACAGAAATAGATGTTTTCTAGGAAGAAATCATACACACACCAATAAACCACATGTCTCGTTAAGTTAGAAAAAAAAAACTGTATTTAGAATCTCTCGCCAGACACCCCTTTTATAACACATTGGCCCTGGAGATTAAGCCAAAAAGGCCGTTTTAATCGAGCCAACCTGTTTTCTGATCACCGCTCAAAACAAATACGAGAAAAACTACTATAATTAAAGACTATGTTGGCTTTCATTTATGATGCAAAACTACAGGTTTCTATTTTTGGGCATGTGCTGAAGGCAAAACTTCAAGGAATTGTTCTTTCCTGACGTTTCGAGTGTGATCCCTTCATCACGTTTTTCAGCTACTCTATCACCCTACAAGGTGGCCAATCTTCCAACTCACTTAATAAAACCAAATCATTGAACTTCTCTTGGAACTTGTTTTGCAATGGTAAACCTAAATTGTGAAAAGGTTGCAAGAACGTGAAAATTGCCTTGTGTGTCAGGGTTCAACGCTTTAGAGGTGCCAGGTAAATAACCTGAAGATGGAGTTCCTCATCAATTAGAAATGTAACCCACAGATATCAAGGTGACCACCAATCTGGAGAGGCAGGGGGGGGGGGGGCACTCACTCAAGTGTCCAGCCCCAAGGAGTTTTCCTGTCCTTTCCACAGCTATACGACGCATCTGTTAGGCCCTTTTAGGTCCTTCCACAGACTGTTATTGACAGATTTCCCTGCCCTTTCATATACTTCAACTCATGAAACCTTTATTTTTGCATTACACCTACAGCTGAAAGGCCTGAACAAGGTTTATGTATATGTACCGCTTTTGTGAAGAGCCTCCTTTGTATAAGGCATTGTAAGGAGTGCCTCCCTCCCTAGGTCACTAATTACATGTATGGATGAAAAAATGAAAAAGTTAAGACTGCAAGTTAAGGTTTGTTCACCTCAGCAGAGTAGCATCTGACAGGAATGCCGAATGCTCTCGCAAGACCAAAATCTGCCAACTTCAGTTCACCATCCTATAGAAAGACAGAGTTCAAAAACATTAGTTTTTTTTAGCAGCAGGAACACAAGTAGTACCAATAATATTAATATTATACTACCAGTAAAGACAGCTATAGCTGTAATAATCATTGGGCTGAGAAAATAGGCCCTTCAGTGTATAGGCCCTTCAGTGTTTAAACCCTTAAAATGGATCAATATACAATTATGGGTGCTGGGGCCTGTTTCTTGAGAGTCCCAATAATTAATAACCAGCCCAGAAAGCTGTTGTTGTTTACTGTGCATTCAAGATTGAGGTTTCAATAGTTTTGCAAATAATACATTGATAAAACTATAGTTAATAAAACAAAGGGCTGGAAGGACCTGTACATACTTTTACTCTTTATATTTTTGAATTGAAAATTTGATTTCATTGCCAAAGAGTTACCAGGATGGCGAGACACTGGCCCCTGGACACATACTACAGAAGGCATCTCTGTGATGGAACATGCCTGAAGCATCGGACCCAGAGGGGAACTAAAATGATAATATTTTAGTAGGTGCTACATGCTAATAAAACTAGGATATGACTGTTCCAACAGTATGGGGTTCATTAACATTTGTCTGAAGCGCAGTTCACATTTTTTCTGAATTCACTGCACCTGTATATTTTACCTTATAGAGGGTTTCGTTAATCACTTGTCTCATGATTGTCACTTACATATGTGTAGGTACTGATCACAACGTTTCAACCACATACTGCTGCTCTTCATCAGGCAATAGTGACGATTTACTGAGTATGACTATATGTACCACCGTGGTAGTTAGTGATTGGTGTGTCATGAACCTCGCTCATGGACACTATCGCCTGATGAAGACCAGCAGTACGCGATTGAAACGTAGTGATCAATTATTAGTGACAATAGTGAGAGAAGTGAGAAAGGAAACCTTTATACACATTATCCACAATCAACAATTATCTTTCATGGCATATTTTTACCTTATTGATGAGAAGATTTTGAGGCTTGAGATCCCGATGAAGAACGTTACGGCTATGACAGAAGGCTAGGCCCCTCAACAATTGAAACATAAAGGACTAGAGAGCAACGAAGGCATTAATTTTAACTTGGTTTGCTAAACACATGAAAGGTATAGCTGCTTGCACACTGATGATGTCAGCTGCAGATCCCATGTCCCCACTCCCGCCCCCCACCCCCGAGAAAAAAATTAGGTTTTAAAAAAATTTAGGTTTCTGTTTTTTATTTCTGGCATCATCTTCAAAAAAAGCTATTAAGAATTATGTTAACAACATTACAGAATTTTTTTAAAAAGTTAAAAAATATATGACGTTTTGACGTTCTTGGACGTCATTATCAAGTAAAAAAATATGGTATGAATGTTCTATAAATACAAGAAAAACAATAGTTCATTACAAAGAAAAGTAACATAAAAATATGTTACAAGTTAAACAAAGAGTTTAGCACTGATGGAGTCACTCTGAGTGTTAAGGCTAGGCCTAAGTTCTTTTTGAAAAAAATTCTTACATATTTTTAAGAAAAGGTTTTATGCAATTATTTTTTTATAGCTAAATGTTTGAAAAAACTGCCTTTTTTATGTAAATGTTACATGAATAAAATATTGCATCATCATCTTAGTTTATGATTTAGCTAAAAAAATAACTTGCCTGGGTCCTCAACCATTGAACAAGTGAGAACTCATGAAAAGTTACTTGCCTGGCAGGAAAATCTACTTTCCCTGGATGACTGAGCGGGACTTTTTTAACGATATAAATTACATGACTGTACATTTACAGTAATTTAGAATAAAACAGCACCTTCACAACTGCTGCATCCACTTCTCCCTGGCAACTGTCAAAATACTTTTTGAGATCCTACAAGGTATTGAAAATAATTTCACGTCAAGTTTTATCCAAAATAAGACTAAACTATACAGGGTAACTTTTCATGACAAATCTATCTGGTACAGTACAAATGTATGAATGGCAACCTTAACTGCACTGTACAATTTTCTAGAGAGCATTTGAATTTACAATGCTCATCAGTTTGTCCCCCTAACTCCATTAGGTCATGGTCATTTTCGTAACAGAACATTTTCAGTAGCTTTGATTTGCTTTTTTTGCTTTTTGTTCTTGCACAAAAGCTATTGGCCATATGCTGATTGGATCGAATATCGACATTTGATACAAGAACTTCTCAGTACAAGTGGGGGTCATGCCAAGCCAACCATGCAGCCTGACGTCTAATATCAACACCACAAATCAAAAGTATTACAGCACATAAAGAGCTAATAAATGGCTGACAAGAAACTGAGAGGACAATGTACAGCTGTAGATACATGAACAACCACAACAATGGCACTAAATGTACTTTAAATCCTAAAAAAAACATGAAGGGTGGGTGGGCAAGGCAAGTCAGGAAATGGCAGATGACAACAAAAACAGCTAAACTCTAAAACACCGTGTGACCTGAAGAACCGTGGACACAGGAATCCACACTCCTATCAGTGCGTGAGAAAAACATTTTCCCCTCCTTTTTTTCCTCAGCCAGTAGAACACCACACTTACGACCATCTAGCAAGACAAGAGTTTTGTCTTTAAAGATGAGACTCTTGCCTTGTGAGAGTATCATGGTAAATCAGTTTTGAGTGGTACTGTACACAAATACGCACTTTCCAAATGATGCTATTTTTTGACTGAGTGTGTGTAGAAAGCAATCAAACTCTGTCTTACCTGATCACAGTATTCAAAGACCAATGTCAGCCTTTTCTCGCTATGCATCACATCATGTAATCTATCAACAAAACTTATAGTTAGTTCATTTTCAGCAGTCCATTTCTTTTGGTACAAAATTTTATCACCAATAGTTATTGACCTAACCTGTGTACAGACCCCCACCCCCCTTCCCTTAAAAAGAAGTCTGGGAGGGGCGCGCTTCGGTATACAGGCTACAACTGAAATAATCAGTTGGGAGAATTTGACGAAAGATCAAGGCATTAATTTTTCCTTTGTTGATTATTTTATTATTTCTCATTACCTTCAATCTTGATTCTGTTTTGGTATTGTTAGTAGGGAAGTAAGTTGATGTTGGTCACCTTTGGGGCTTTTAAGTTGAAGTCTACATTGTAAGTCTACATTTCTCATTTGCCCGGCTTGTGCACTTTCAAGAGGAGCTCATTAAAGTTTGATGCTATTATTGATGATATCAAATTAACGCAGGCATATTTAAAGAGTAACACATGTACATGTACTTCGATTCAGATGATATCAAACTAACTTTGACCAATTGCAGTGGCTGTTCACAAAAAAATTGTTTTTTTGCGGGTGTATAAACTGTTCATGATATAAAATTAAATCAGACAAAATAAATTGTTCATATAAAAGCCCTGTAGGATACTTGGATCCAAACTGGATGACATCACGGTGTGTTTAAAAAATTTATATTATTTTTTACATCATATTAATACATGGTTACATTGTAGTTTTCTTTGATTTCTCTTTTTACAATAAACAAATATAACACCATTGTATACATTAGGCATAATATAAGCTGACTAAAGTTATACAGATTTGCTTTTCACTGAATGAATTATTTTATCTTTTTAATGAAAAGAAATTACAGAAAGACTTCATGGTGATAAAAGCAGCTGTGGCCAACCACAGTTCAATAAATTAATCACATCATGGTGAAAAACAAATAGGACACTATAATTCCATAACTTTTGTTCCTACACAGACTTTTTTCTGGGTTTTTATTCACAAAACAATATGTCTATATATGTGTAAATAAAAAATACTTTCATAAATCTAAGACATGTCCGCAGCCTTATCCTTTAACAAGGTATTATGTGAAACAGCTGGAGAAAATTAATAACTCAGCAGTGCTTTCTGTTGCAGAATTGGTGTAATACATTACCACGTACTCAAATGTAAGTCAACAGACACTTGCATTTGGATTCTAAAGGCTCAAGGCTCAATTCTTGAAATTACAAATGTCAAGTCAAATGTTTAAAGACCACTGCTTTGAGTTTTCAGTTGAGAAATCCATAAAAGTTTTGCGTTACTAATTTCTTAAATTGGGCAAATGGACCATACTCTCTGATATAATGCACTCTGACAAAAAGCTGCGTACTTAGAATTTTGAGGCATGGGAATCCATTTTCCAGACTACTGTCCACCAACATTTGAGAGGTAATGCAATAAACCCTTTTATTGTCTGGCTGAATCAGTGAGCAGGCAAGATGAAGTGAATTCTGTGCTCTGATTGGCTGCCTGAGCAGGCAAGATGGACCCATCTCGCCTGCTCAGGATTTCCTGCATTGGTCCCCCGATAAAAAGTTCTCTTTTTGGCAAAATAGTAAATCCTGTATTGACCAAGCATGTTTGGACAATACGGCTGTATATTGGCTTCGTTTTTTTCCGCACTTTTATTGACCTCAACTTTCTCTTGGTCGATAAAAAAACTCAAAAAAGAACTTGGCCAATATCCAGCCATCTTGACCTCATGCTTGGTGAATAATGCATATTTACAGTTGTTCTGAATGATAAATCAAATAAATTCCCTCACTGAAATATTGAGCATCACAGCTGTACATCACTTGAAGCCAGCAGCAATGATACCATGTGTCTATTTTCTTACCTCACAATATTCTTATGTTTGACCTCCTTTAAAATGCAAATTTCTCTCAAAGCAGAGCTAGGAATCCCCTGAAATGAACATCACATGAACACATGTCAGGAAAATGATAATTATTTTTTCTTCCAAGCTTGAAAAGAAAGAAAAAATGCTTCCAAAGATAAGGAAGAAATATACAAGTTCTATCGATTTGAATTACTACGGCAACAGTATCCATATTTTTGTCACTGTAACATATGGATAAAAAGCTGTCCTATATTGCAGAACAATACTGTGTTTAAAACTCTATGATTATATTCAGTGAGCACGTAACAACAGAGATAAGTACATGTGGTGTGTATGAAGGAGTCTTATTTAAATCAACATGTTGCTGGTGGGTATGGTCTGACTATAAAACTTTCCACAATTTCGTTTTGTATAACTCAATGTTTCAAGGAAAACAGTAAATGGAAAAATCAAGTTCACAGTGGTCTGTGTAGAAAGCGAAAGCATTTATTCATAAATTCATTTGCTTTTATTGCTTAGAGCTGAAAGCAAAAATTATTCCCTAGGTTCAAAAACTACTTCAATCTTGTCGTAATTACATATGTAAGCCAGGTTATTTATAATCACACACAACAGGGAAGAGGGAAACATACATGTGTCACAGCACAATTTTAAAATACTTACCTCATCATCTTCGTCGAGTCTCACTCGTTTTAACGCTACTATCTCATGCGTTTCCTTGTGTTTAGCTTTGAAAACGGTTCCATATGTTCCTAAAGATCGTTGAAGCAAAAAATTTCCCGCGCAGTGCGGAATAATTGTAAAACGATATATCTATTACCGGCCATTTACAAAATCGCAAAGTTTGCTGACATTACCTTCGCCGATCTTCTCCAGTTTTTCATATTTCTGCATAATATGAATCTACTTTCTAAAGGTGTGCATTCAGGGTCTCGTCTAATACTTTTTTCGTGATAGAAAAGCTAAATAATCTTGATAAATTTACCGAATCTATTCAACACTCAGCCGATGACAACAAAACATCATCCAGGCCTTCCGTTTGCTTCTTTCATAGGAGACCTGGCACTAACGGGAGACTCCGCATTATGTTAACAGCGCTGGCGCAACCTGAACGCGTCAACAAACTTCTTTCGGGGGAAGGGTTTAGAAGGGTAGTGGCTCTGGATTTTGACGGAGGAAATTACAGCCCAAATTCTCCTAATTTTTGGAATTCAAGCTTTATTGATGTAAGAATACTATGAACTCGACCTTCAGGCGAAAGTTGGGGCTTGAAAATTGAAGATTTCATGATAAATTGACTGCTTAATATTGCGACCCTCAACACGACCCAAGTTAAAACTCTCGTTGGTTTGACCAAGCTGCAAACGTTTGGTAAGTTTTACTCCCAGCATCATTTAATATAATCATTCTTTATCTTTTTGTATATATTTAAGTATTGTAGACGTTCGTTTTTTAATGAGTATTTTTCAATTTTACGGTGATACCTGTTTTATAAGTGCTAAAAACTCAATTAAAAATACCCCGTAAGCTCACGTAAATAGTAAGCAGTTAATCACACTTTGAACCACTTTCCTCCGTGAACCGAGTTATGATTTCATTGGCGTTGGAAATTGAAGTTCGAGGCTTCCTATGAAAATTATTGCATCGGTTACTTAGAAGAAAAGTTTAAATTAAGCTTAAGCTTATATAAATATAAATATGCTTGCAAGAAAATCAAGATTAACGAGCAGAAAATTTTATGTAAGCTTATTTTATTCTAAGATTATAGTAGACGCGTTGTCATAATGGAATGTCTTTCATGAAACCACCGCAAAATTAAATGGTCGTTTATAGTCTAGCCACAGGGATCTCGTTTTAGGGGGTCGATTGACGGCGAAATTTGTTCTTGAATAATCAGATCTGTTTTGGGACTGATTATAGAATGTATGAATATTTTCTACGCTTCATTAGTTAGTTTGTTCTTTTCAATAAGTTGTCACCGCTAAATCAATTTATGTGTAAATTGATAATTTCTAGAATTTTTTCTTTGCATGGATTATTTCCTCCAGAAATTCCTTTATTTATTTGTTTATTTCAGTGTCATTTAAGGATTACATTTAATTTTTATTGACTTTAATTTACTTGAGAGCTGTTTTTCCCTTTTACCATTTTATCAGCACTCATAAAGATTTAAATGAAGCTGGTATAGTGAACAGCTTGCCCTGGAGATATTTTGTGTGAAAATGATTTTGATAATTTTTGGGTGCCCCCATGTTGATAATGATCAAGATAAGCCATATGTGTTTTAAAAACCTTGGGCCCAGTTGTTCAAAAGCTGAACTGTGCCTGTGCCATTGGGAGGTTGGGGGGGGGGGTGCTCCCTCTAATGGCCTATTCGATTCGGGAGGCTCCAGGGATTAGGCTCCCCTGAAATTTTCGAACTGTTGTAAAGTTTTCCACTACACATTATGGGCCTCAAGTTTTCTCGTGTTCATAACAGAAAATTTGAACCCCAGGGTGCAAAGAAAGTCAGTTTCACAGCTTGGCATACGGGCAAGCTCTAGTTAGCATGTACTAGCCCAAAAGTCATTTTAACTAGCCCAATGATGAGCAGGATTGATAACAGTTCTTTTGTGATTAGAATTTCTTAAAAATTTTCACTTGCCTGGAGGGCAAGTTAAGAACAGAATTCACTAGCACAGTGGTAAAATCCACTAGCCCCGGGCTACTGGACACCACTTTCTTTGCACACCGGACCCCCTAATGTCGCAGGAAAAGATTTTATGATAGCTTGAAAATTTCAAAATTACAAGGAAAACCACTCAAGCGTGACTGGGTGGCAAGTGTTGTTTTTCCCATACAAATTTTTCTAATTTTGGACAGCTGTTGCAGTCGCTAGTTTTGAAATATACAGCTGAAAATTTGCAGGTTACCTAATTTGAATATGCTCTTTCAGTTCCTGTTTACGTGGCTCATGCCAGTTTCTTCCTTTTTTTCGACAGTTTTACTTTAAAAGGACAAAACAAAAAAGCAAGCTTAAGCCACAACAGCACTTAGTTACACAATGAATGCTTGACTTAAAACAACCATTATTTTGTCATTAGCAGTTACCATGGCAATGTATGGACCTACTTTTTAGCTTCCAGCACTAATAAATAGAAAACTAAGCCAGTGACCCCTACTTTTTTTGGACAACTACTTTTGGCTTTAGAAAAAGAAAATACACAGTAACATTAAAAAAAATTATACGGCGCAGATTTTTTTGCGAAAGTGGAAAATAGGACATTTTTATTCAGTAGAAATTTCCTTCCATAGAATTTTTCCATTTTTTTTCTGGCATTTCTTTCAACTCTAACAAAATATTAAAGCAATAAAAATAGGGGGTTACTGGACTTGTTTCCTTTTAAAATACTTTGAGAATTCACAATTACCACGCTTGTTTTCGTATTGTAAAATCTGAATCCTTTAAGAACACGGGTTGCTCACATGCTGTGTTGACTGTTACATGTATACTTGCAGGCATCCATCGAGTTTGTTTACGGTCTTTGTTAGTCTTTGCAGAGAAGAAAAAAATTTCACCGCACATCCAATTTACAATGCCTTGTTATTAGGTTTTCTCATTCAGTGTAATGTTTGGTAACTTGAAACATTGCCTTCTGGACTCATCAAGAGACAAAGCGAAGAGGTAAAGACAAAATTATGACTGTCGGGAATATCGCCTTAATGTTTTCAATTTTCTTTGTCGATCTTGTAAGGATGCTATATGGTAGCTTTGGTGTATACATGATCCAAATGACAAAATTTAGTCAAGAAGATAAAGTGTGGTAAATTTTGGTAGTATTCTAGTTTATTATTTTTGTTGTTGTGCTAGTACTTATAGGGTCATTGCTCTTTTAATCCCTGTCATGATCGATCACAGTGCGCATGCAAGTATTCCTTTTGAAACTTATGTGTTATGAGTGGAGAGATTATTGTCGTCTTGAAAATGTATTGTGAAAATAGGTTTTTACAGTTTATGTAGAGACTTTAGAGAAATGCGCATTTTATTTGAAACAGGCCAAAAGTAACCTTGCACAAAGGTATTAAAACTTTCACAGTAATGACCACACGCTACCATATCTGTTTTTTGTATCTTGCGCGTACAAAATTGGAGTGGGATAAGCACACGCGATGGACTCTGCAAGCAAGAAAACTAGTACGAGCCACCTTAAAATCATTTTTCCAAAACAAATGGTTTTCGTGTTTACAGAAAGTTGATCATGTGACCAACTATTTCAAAAGGCCTATATACAGACACAAACAATCGGTCAAAAGTTTCCAACAAAACAGTAAATAAATGAGACTATGCTATGATCTTTTGCCCTGTGAATCAATGTTTATGGAAAATTTGAAATGCAAACAGCAGGGTTCTGGAACACAATCATGAATAGCATTACAATCTTGTATGTCACTTTTCCATTATATTAATATTTTATCTGTAGGCATTTAGTAATTTTGCTGTCTAAAATGATGAATTGGTTGAGTCATACGTAGAGTATGTAAATTAATGTATTTGAACCATTTAATTTGTTATTTAATGATAAGGTTTTTGTTTGTTTATATTCTTCAGGTAAATGAGGGTTAAACAAGCAACGAATGTAGCTAAAATAATATTATTATTTTAAACATTCATATAAAAGAATAATATAGATTATGCATGTAAATTATTGATAGAGGTGATTTATGCAAGGTGCTCTCAGCAGGTGCTCCATTATCTAGTTTTTCTCTTTTAACAGCCTGTCTTTGTATAAATAGAAACAAGGAATTAACCTGTCAATCCTTTGACATTTTCATTGTAAAGAGCACAGCATCACTGAGCTAATTCCAGGTTTTTAATAAACTGTGTAAATGTGCCAAACTGCACATTCATCGAATTATGTGTTTTTGTTAGAGATTCAGACTTGTAGCCATTGAAGGAGGCTTTCGGTAAGTAGAGTACACTCAGGGTTGTCCTTGTTCTTTAAATATTTTTCTAAAATGTTGTGTTTGCAAACAAGGAAAACATAGTGGTTTCAATTAACTTTCACTGTTTAATATACACTTTATGAATTCATACTAAAATATTGGGCCTCTTTTCAATTTCTACCAGCTGTGGTGATCATTAGTTTTTTACATTCTTGTAACACTTGAGAAGAAAGAGCTAATATTAATACTGCTCACAATGGCCACGCTGTAGATTTAACAGTAACATGCAAATTTTAAATTACTACTTTAACGCTGATGAACTGTCCTCAAAGTTGAAATGAAAGTAAGGAGAAAGCAGTAGAAACTATAAGCAGCTGCAAAGGCCGCTAGGACATGAAACTCATCGGTGTTTCCTGGTGATGCGGAAATCATTGTTGGTTTGCTTTTATTTTGTGGTGTGGGGTATTGTTCATTGTCTTTTCAATCTTTTGTATTACGTCATTTGGTGATTGCAGTCACCTGCAACACTAAGAAACTACCAAACTCATGCATTTGCTATGTTTACTGCAGTGAGGACCTGTTAGGGTGGATTTCCTCTGTCGTGTAATTTTTACATGCATGCATATGCACGTAATTTTACTCGCGTAAATAAATAGAGACCAGGTTTGACTTGTTCTGGTTAAACGTGAAGTTGAGCAAGGTTCAACTTTTACTTTAAGTTTTACGTGCGATCTTTCATACATTGCCTCTCTTATTTGCAAACTTAAATTTTAAACTCATGCATACGTCAAAATTACGTGACAGAGGAAATCAACCCTTAGGGTGAAATTCTGACAGGTGACATGGTCTTGAAACGTTGACATAATAAGGCAAACGAAATGGTGACAAACATCACGAAGATGGCTTGAAATGGCAATAGGGAGAAAGACAGGTGAAATTCAACCCTTTCACTGCCAAATTTATAGCCAAAAGCAATTTTTGAGCAACTTTCCAAACTTCATTTGGGAATAGCACCATGTGTAAGTACAGGCAGAGAGGTTTCATTTGAATGGTCACATTATAGGAT